ATACTTGAAATAGAACATAAATGAGATCCAAATACTGACAGGGATGACAGCTAATGATTATACAGAACCAGCAGTTAATATTATACAGGTACAACATGCAGTATCCAAAACAAAGAATACCTCCAAATTATACCAGAACCCAACTGAGGACCATCAGCATTTTATATGAGGTTATTTGAGACAGCTAGAATATTGTCTCATTTGGAAGGGGAAGATAAAAAAAAACCCTACGTTTAATATGTTGCTCAGTGGACAGTCAGCTCCTGATATCCAAAAGAAGATGCAGAAGATTGACAGGATTTCAGGGATGTCTATTTCACAGCTGACTGAAATCACTTGTAAGTTATATAACAATAGAGAGTAAGTAAGAAAGGGGAAAAAAGAAAGAAGAATACGACAAAACAAAAGGATAAGCAAAAGAGATATAAAATACAGGTATGCTTCCTGGCAGAGGCTACAGTTCAAACCACAAATTGAAGAGGAACATTTAGAGGAGGATCTTGGGAGTTAAAATAAACTTGTGTAGTGTAACTAGCATAGCTGGCAAGAAGGGAGATTAGCCCTACCTTTAACTGACCAGTTGTAAGCCAAAGGCTGTATCAGGGTAGTGGCCAAGTGATAAGAATACGTATAAAAAAGTGTCACAAATATCCCAGGGTGTGTTAGATTTGTGGGAGGCCACCTAGCACCCACACTTGTGCAACTTCACAACAGAACAGTATCTCATCTCTGTGAGATTGACTTACTGCACACCAGGTAATGATTTCACCAGTTGGATAACATTACTTCCACCAGTTCTGATAGTAAAGTATTTTTAAACCATTCCTCTACCATTCTTTGGGAAACACTCGGGGTACATCCACACTGGCATTTTTGCTTTGAAGCAGAAGCCTACTTTCTAGCCACACCTTTCCTCCACTACCACATAGGTGCAATACAGAACAACCTATTTGCACACGTGCTGTGTTCTTCAAGGACTCAACGCAACTGGAAGTTGAATGTCAGGAACACATCTCACATGTTTCATTGTCAGCGATGCCTGGCCACAGAACAAGTCTATCCTCTGAGGATCACAAATGGGTCAAATTTTCATCAGAAAGACATTTTCTTCCAACAGCCAGCTCTAGTAACAAAGAGCACAACTCATCAGATAATTCAAGTGACCAAACACCACTCCTCATCCTCTGTTAGTCCTGCATCTGCCTCACCTGCCAGCCTGGCCTCTTCTTCCAACCTGTCTTCATAGCCTCTGTCTTCTGCCTTCTCTCTGTCAAGGTGGGGATGTAGTTTTGCCTTCCTTTGCTCATGCTGTAGCCCATGTGCAGAAAGGGACTTGAGGGTAACATCACCACGCTGTGGGCACGGGCATCTCACACACTGCCTCTGCCATAGGGCCAGCTGTACTTCAGGAACACATAGCAGTAGGGTCATCACAGTGCAGTGACATGATGAAGTTGTGGTTGCAAGAACACACTTTCTGTGGGGAAAAAAGAAAACACATTGTGGGAAAGCCCTTAATGAACTTAGCATCTGTCACAAACCCTGAGGCGAGCTAATCGTTAGAATAGATAATAAGATGCTTACAGCAGCGTATATAATTAGAAAATCTCCAGTGTAAAATGTTAGTGCCATCACAAATAAGGTTTCAATCCTTCATCTACTGAGTCACCCTTACTATTACCAACAAGCCACATCAGAAACCTTGTCCGCAGCCATTTAATTTGAGCATGTTCTGCATCTCATTGAGAGCCAACAAGATAAGCAGGCAGCAGCACCGCTAGATGTCAGCCCGAGCTCAAGGAACAGCACCACTCTCACTGTGCAGCAGCATCAAATCCCCGGCCCAAATCCCCAGGCTTTCCTAATTACAAGGTTTTTATTTTAGATAGTTACATATGGTGTCACACTTCTCCAAAACCAACTTTGCTGAAAAAAAAATATATACTGCAGTTTAGTTTCAAGGCTTCTGAATCTCCACCCAAATGGATAGCGAGAGATTACAAGTTAAGAATGCAGTTTGAGGCCACCTTAAGAGCTGGAAACAACAATGTTTAAACACAAAACTTAAAACAAGCTATGAGTTTACTTCCCCTGTGGTGGGATACAATGAAGGGAAATAGACTATAAGGTCCCGTCAGACAAATAACACACCTGGCATGTCAGATGTTTTTTTACTTATTACTAAAGCAGTAGTAGTGAAACTGCTGTGATTTCAACGAGGAAACTGCAAATACAATCATCATTGTAGGGGAAAAAGAAAAACTGGAAAATCAAATGCATCCTCCACTGCCTGCTAGCATAATATTGATCCTCCTCTCCTTCTCCTGTAAGCTCCTGTTTATTTCAGCCAGGTACACTGCAGCATGAACACTAAGGGGTCTGAACGGCAAGCTGTGTTGTTCTGAAACAAGCTTCACCTAAGAACGTGCAATGCAGAAAGCAGATCCATGCTCAGTGTCAAAACTATTGATTTTTAGCTGTCAGGCCTACACTAACAGTGCTGCCAACTGCAAACACTCCAAAGTTTTCTGCAGACGTCTTGCGCTCCCTTGCCATTTCTTCCTCCCTGCTCCAGATCTCAGACAAGTCTGGGATCATTTGGTTTACTTTCTGTGCTAGAATTGTTAAGATTATGGTTGTCACACTTCCTTACGTTTCTAAGGGTAGAAACTTGGACTTTGCTCTAAAAAGGAGAGAGACCTTCAAGTAATAATCAGGCTTCAACAATGAGAATTTAAAATTAATCAAACTTCACGACACTTGCAATAAAATGATGAAAAGCGGCGTACTGAAAATTGAACCAAGCACTGATTAAGAGAATGAGCAGAAACGGAAAAAAATCCCTTGTAGAGGGAGAGTGTCAGACTGCAATACCTCTGCCCTTCCGAGCAGAGACACCATCTCTTGCGAAGCGAGCGCATCCAGCATGCTTTCTTTTCTCTGCTCAGCATTCACACTGTGAAGGGATTGCCCTCCGAGAGAGCAGCCTAAAGATCAGGAATGGCTGCATTTGTTATATCACATCCCTGGTGACTACTGAACGAAGTCACAAGTCTCCTTCGGACAACTTAAAAGAGGATCCTGCCAATACGTTACAGGATGAAGCTATAAACTGATCAAGCCTGTCATACCAGAGTTCAGGCTGCAGCATAGGCCACCAGTGCTTGTGAGATGACAGTTTTACACAATGTCATCATATAAAACAAGTACCTATGACACCAGGCAGACAGAGAGTGCTGTAAAGCTTCATTAAATTGGAAGCCACCTGACAGTTGTACATCAGAGACTGAACTCAGCAGACAAGTAGCTTCACCAGTACAATGCTTTTCCACAGCCAGGTGCTTTACGAAGACCATGCAGTGGTTCGCAAACTGAACCCTTATCTTACTTTCCTTGAAATTAGGTTGTCAAGCAGACTCTGATGCCCCCTGAAAGCCCGTTGAGTTATTTTCTGCGCAGAGGAGGTGACCAACCAGAGCGCAGACTCTGAAGAGAGCTAGAAAAAAGCAAAAAGAAATGCATGCTGTCCACATGCTGCCACGACGGCCCCAGGCTCAGTGTAACTGCTGAAGAAGTCATAGCAGGATGTTTTTCACTGACAGGCCAAATGTCCTTCGTGCATGTTCAGAAAGGGTACAGATGTGTGTGTGTGCATAGTCCCTGCTGTATGCATCCTGAACTGGAAGCATTCTGTGTCCCAGCTGTGGTCTGTAAGCACCAGTCTCATCTTACACCACAAAAGTCCACTCTGTCCTGGACTTTTCTGTGGCAGTTTTGTGGAGAAACTTAAATCTTCATATCCGTTTACATAGAACTGGGTACGTTAGTTAACTGCCAGCAACTGAGATGAAGCCTTGCAGGAAAAGCTTGCATTTTCCAATAACAATTGCTAGAACCCACCACTTACATTCCTGATATCCACAGTGCAATTGAATCCGCTTTGTCTGCTGTTTGCAAACACTGACTGCTGCGTGCATCTTCACACGCCTGTAACTTCAACCATGCCCATGGGTGGGATGCATTTCCAACACTTGTCTTGGAAATCTGCTTTAAGTAGAACTCAAAAATTCGATATACGCAGCAAAAATGCCGTTTAACAGTGGTGTGCGACACAACCCGCCCGCCCCGTGACCTTCTGGAAGGTTCTCTCGTGGCAGAGGCGGCGCGCCCGGCGCTGAGGTGCGGCTCTGACCGACCACCAGAGGGCGCTCCGAGCCACACTTACGAATCGCACCTGAGGAGAGGCGCGTTCCTACGATCTGCCTGCTAACCACGTCCTGCAGCGCCACATCTCCACATCTGAGCACCTCCAGGGACAGGGATTGCACCACCTCCCCGGGCAGCCTGTTCCGAAATGGTAGAATTGATACACCTAACTGGAAACGTGACCAGAGCGTCTTTTTGCTCCTTGCTCATCATCTCCCCCCATATTGCCAGCACAGGGAACGAGGTAGCTTCAGAGGGCAGCACACTGACCTTTCACACAGCGCTTCCCCACCTAGAAAATAAAATCACAGAACGGCCTGGGTTGAAAAAGATCACAATGCTCATCCAGTTCCAACCCCCTGCTCTGTGCAGGGTCACCAGCCTGCACACCAGGCTGCCCAGAGCCACATCCAGCCTGGCCTTGAATGCCTGCAGGGATGGGGCATCCACAGCCTCCTTGGGCAACCTGTTCTACTGAAAATAAACCCAATGTTTGCAGAAATGTGAACAACAACAACATGAGGTATTCGGTGCACTCCCTCTTGTGGCAGCACAGAGATGCTTCAGCTCGAGCACATCCCATAACTATCGGCATTGGGGGCAGGGATCGCGCCTCGCACGGAATAATGCTCCTGGTTTTCTTCCTGCCAGTTTCTCCATTGCAGCATAATTCTTGCAAGAAAAATGATTTCAATCAGCAAGTCACATAGTGCTCAACAAAGAAAGGGCTTTTTCAGTGTTTATTTAATGTTTAGATGAGGTTATGGAAGGAAAACGCAGATCAAGATGGCACATTTAATTCTACATGTCATCTGCACTACTCAAAGTAATGCAAAGGCTTATAGAGGCATTCACAGGTATATGCAGGTAAATAATTTCTAACGAATAAATCCCGTATAAGACTACTTTCCCCACCCCAAATTACTGCCTTTAAATCAACTTCTGCACTTGAAAGGTGACTTATTTTACAATTAGGTATTAAAAAAAAAAAAAGCTGGTGTTCGGTGGAGGGTTCCAAGTTTCTTTGTCAGCATTTCTTGATAGCACCCTGGAGATTACCCAGCCATCTTCAGCACTACTCACAGAAGAAATCAATGTCCTGAAAGAGAGTTGAAAGGAAAGATGTTTTGAGATTACTGAAGGATTAACATTCCTTTATCATCCCCCAAAGGTAGATAAGTAGATGCAAACACTGAATACGCTAATGTATTCAAAGTGTGTTCTCTATAAATTAACTCCACAGAATTCTGGAGAAGAAAGCTTTTATTGCTTTCAACTCCTTTTATGTGGTTGGGATGATTTGTTCCTGACAGAAATCTTTAAAGTGGATTGGGTGATGCCATGTTCTTTCTTTCTTCAAACAATTCCTTTATCTTTCTGTTTAGTTTTCCTACATCCACACTCGGATTTGAGTTGTATGTAACCCCTTATCCTTAAACTTTTCCTAACCAGACATGAAAAGGATGCCTTAATTTGACTGAGGCTGTGATTCACTTGCTACAGAGAAACCTGACTAGAAAAAAAAAGTTTGCATTTTGCTTGAAAACTTCCAGCAAGGGATACATTTTCATAGCATATGCTTTCATCTAGCTTTCTGCTGGTATTTTATCTGGCTACATAGCTCTCATCTTGATTATACTGCAAGGAATTAACAACTTGTATGCTCAAACTCAGCAACATTTACATTAGACCAGCCTATCACATGTAGCTGTCCACTGGAAAGTGGTTCAGAGCAAAGGCTTACTGGCATTAAAAGTACTCTCATTTTAGCCAGCAAATGACCAATTTAAAATCACTGAAGGATGGCAAGCAATCCAACACCTCAGTAGTACACAGTCTATTTTAAGGAGTCTACTGTATTCAGTGGCCTCAAAAGTAGCAGCACTGGGAAGAAAATATTGTATCAGATTTATCACTTTATCACTATCAGCAGCAAAAGGTATGGATTGCCTCGTGTTGCAAAAAGGATGTTGAGATTAGTTCACAAGCATTAGAATTTATTAAGAGGGTCTGCTGCTGATGACATACACTGACTGCAGTTCTGACAGTTACTATGGGGAAAATGAAGGAGACAGAGACCCCCTGTACTAATGTCCTCTTTCGTGCTCCTCTTTAGTGCAGCAGGTCCCCCCATCAAGATACCTGTGAAATTGCCAACTCAGTGCTTTCAGTGGACAGGAACTGCAGGCTGCTTGATCATTAAGCTTTGGGCATCACTAGTTCCCATAGTATAAATGAAATAATAAATGAAAGGTTAGAGAAGAGGGCAGTTGGAGAAGGTGGTTCTCACACCAGTGGCAACAACAGCAACAGACTTAACAGGTTTGAGGCCAGGAAAGCAAGGTACAAGCATCACCAGCAGCTGAAGTGAAGATGGCAGCAGTGCGAACATAAGACCAGCTACAGCGTTACAAGCACACAAGAGCTGTGCAACAATCGCTCTGTGTAAAGCAGTACCCTTTAAAGGATACTTCTGGATGAATCAGTATGGTCAGGTAGAGATCCATTAAGACCTGCTGTAAACACTTTCAAATGCAAACTTGAAGTCATATCCTTCAAGCCCACATTTGCAACACAAAAGAGAACAGAGGAACAAGAATCCATCTGTACCACCATCAGGTTTTGCTTCGAAGCAAGAACGTGAACTAAGGGTGAAACAATTAATCCCTGGTGATTAGTTTTGCAAAAAGATTTGCTGCAGAATTTCTACTTGCCAATTAAAGTTCTGCAGGGTAGCCTGGCAAAAGCAATGGCCCATTCTGGACCCACAGCCAGCCTGCAGACTAAGACATGACTTTAACCTACCTCTGCTTCCAGCTCAGCTTGCCATTCAACAGAATGGCTGTCACATTGTTGAGAAAAGAGCCTAGAAACGTATTTTAGTCACGGAACATGAAAGAATGACTAATTGCTACAGTGCTCCTGGCCAAATTCAGAATAACCTAACAAAGTGTCAAGAACAGCAATCGCTTGTTTCAAGATTTGCATTTCTTCACGCAAAATTTGTCTGACATTAAAACACAAATCCTAGCAACTATTACACTTCATTTCAATTATTTCTCGTTTTAATGAAACCTACCTAATAATCAAGAGCTAGGATGAAGTGTCCATGTATAATTTCCAGGCTATGAGCAATGTGTTTTAGGCATAAATATAAGCTACCAGTAACAGCCAAGCCATACCACCCTCTTCCACTTCTCTGCAAAGCATATTTCAGATCTTTAATGATGGTAAGATCTGCCTGATACATGACACACTACTAATAGGATTGGGAAGAACCATCCTTTCAGAAATGCAGCTTATTTAGAAACATGTTTCCAATAGCTTTGCAATTCTACCTTTTGATAGATGTACTGACAACTATGAGACAGCAATACTTTTCTCACGCAGTATTCTGAAAACTAAGATTTTTTTTTAATTTTTATTTTTTAATTCCTCCAATATTTTAACCCAAGTGATGCTGCTACTGTAGAAACAACTCAAGAATACTCTGTGTTCTAGAGGAACAGTGGAAAAGTGAGTTTTCACATTCAATTTCCAGGGACCTGCTTTCACTGAAGCGTGAGAAGGGTGTTCAGGAGTGTAAAACAGAAGTACTCTATGACAATGTCAGTCTATTTAGACCATTAATAGAAGGGGTTTGTACACCTTACTGAAATATGCAGCACAATGTTCAGTCTCCAAAAAAAAGAAAACCATTTGCAACACATTGCAAGAAGTTTGGGTCAGACTTTTAGGGGCCTCCAAGCAATGCTATTCCAATCAGTAGGAACAATAATAGGATCAAGGCCTCCACTCAGCATTTGTGAAATCTACGATATCAGAGCTTATGTTAGGATTTTATTGAGAACGTTTGCCTGCATCAGAGATAGCATCCCTAAGCATCTGTGATATGCTACAATCAAGAGCCACAATTACGATTTGTTTTTACAGGAAATTAGCATTACACAGCCAAGATAATTATATACAGCTGGGGTTCTGTAAATTCCTTACCGTTGTAGGAACGGTCTTATTTGCTTCTTGATAGACATGTTGTTCTGAGACTAAACTGCGAGGGAAGTAGCCAACTGTCCCCATATGGTCTTCATACTCTTCTCCATAAACCTTCAAGCAAGGAGATGTATAATTAGGTGCATTAGAACAGCCCTCGTTTGCTTTAAGCTAATTCATAATTTAGCCAAAAGCAGCTACTTAACAGTGCTCATAACTAATTCTGGATCTCCTAGTTCCCCAATTAAGCAGCACATTAAATGAACTATTAACACAAGTTCTAATACAGATAGGTATTTCTTTTCTGGAATAAAACAACAGCACAGTTTTGCTGTTGTGTGCTTTTTTTTTAATTATTTTTTTTTTAAATGAATTCAGCTAATATTAGTGTTTGCTTCCTTTATATTTAAGTTTTATGAGCAACTGTAATGAAAGCTTTTCTCCTGCAGTTTCAGCAAGCAGTCGCAGAAAAGAATTGCTGAGCCCTTTTACTTGGGTTAAATTCATAATTACTGAATAGTTAATGAAGAAACTTTAACTTCGCTACAAAAACCAGAAGAAAAAAAAAGGCCCTTTAGACTCCTCAGTCAGTTTAAACACCAATCTGAAAACCAAGTTGCTGCTTTAAAACCCACAGTAGCTCAACATCAACACATTTTTGTCAAGAAATAAATGCTACTCTACTTCTGGTTTGCTCATATACACAGGAATCTCATCTTACACTTCCAGCCCAGAATTCTCCAGATTCTTTTTCTTTCACTAGTTTTGAGTAAACATAAATCAACTGCCCTTTTTTAATATTAATGAATCTGCAGTCTGGAGCTTTATAATCCTCTTCTGCTCTGACAAGGGAAATGGTGTCTAGGAAAAAGAAATAAAAATCAAGAATGAGAAGGATGAATTTAAAGACATGCTTTTATAAAGAAAAATATGGAAGTGTGTGGATGCACACGTGTAAAACCATTTCTACAGGCAAAAGTAGGTTATTCTGAAATTAATGTCTGCCAATAATTTGCCCTGCTCATTTTTCCATCTCCAGTAAGCAGAATAACAGCTTCAGAATGCATCATTTAATCCTAACCTAAGTTACAATCCTTCTGTCTCTTCTCTACTCTTACCTTTCACTCATGAGAAGGGTCCCTTAGAAAAGTCTTTCTGCAGTAAAACGGGATTTGATGCTCCACATTCATCTTCCCACTCTATTTTAAAGTTGACAGACCAGTTTAAAGATGAGCTAAATAAGCAGAGTCGTTTTCTGTCACACTACGGCTTCCAAGCCCCACAACTGTTTTGGGGAATGTATTCTAATTAAAATTAAAACGAAATTACTCACAGAGACAGTCGTCATCAGCACACAGCTTCTTGCTGGCAAGCTTGTCCATAAAAATTCCAGTTGCAAATGGATTCATTAATCCAAGACACAAAAATAAGATAATCAAATAAACACGTTGTGTCATTTTTCTTTGCTGCGGCACTTCCCAAATGCCTACCGTGCCCAGGGATCTCTATCTTTTATGGAACAGCCTAACATCTGGACAAACACCCCTGGCCAATGGGAAGGGATCAGGGTGACATTCCACTGCAACAAGAGGAGCCGCCGGCAAGAGGGAAACCTCAGGTTGCACTTATGCAACAGAATCCTTCCCCAAACCAGTTCTGGAGCAACTGTATTACTTAAGAACGTTAAGCTTTCCTCTACTCATACACGGTCTCAAGCTTACCTCAAGCAAAATTTGTTTCAGAATGAAAAAATAAGGCAGACCCCAACAAACAGGGAAGAAAATGATATCCTTTCAAATCCTTCAGTCCCTTATTGTCACAGTCACACACTAACATACATAATCGCCCCCCTGGACCATAAACTCTCCACGGCAACAACCTCCTCATGACAGTCTGTAGCAATGCCCTACCACAACAGTAAATATGGATGCAAATATAACTCAGTAAAAAAAAAGCCTTTCAACTCAGCAATTTAAGTTTGAAATCTAGAATGGAAGCGTTGCTACTTGTAGAGGTAAGATTTCTTTTACACAGGCGGACACAGAAACAGAGCAGAATACACAGGTTAAGCAAAGACAGCGGCCATCTCTCATTTATTCACGTAGCCAAACTCAGCTGAGAGTTCACAGACATGACACTGAATGGTACCATAAGCTGACTTAAGAGGTACTTGTTATGTCTGAGAGGACACGTAGCATTCATCTAACCTCCCAATATATTTTCATAGCACATGAGGAAAAGTACAATATTAATTAAAATAGATGCACGTGCCCAAAAGGAAAAAACTAAGCTATTATACACTCTGTAAGCTGTTCACACCACAGTTGCCTTCATTTGCTTCAAAGAAGCTGATCTTAAAACCAGTCCTTAAAAATGACCAAGAGCAATGCTGCAGCTCCCCAAACAGCTGTTAATCAGTGCTAACTGCGTAAGATAAAGCTCATGACAAAATACACTCACTTTTATTCTTTACAGGTGCACAAAAATTTTCACTTGCAAGTGTTCTAAACTTGTGAATTCACTAAAAAGAATGGAAAATGTATGTATAGAAATACAGAATTAACACAGCTGTGGAAGGGCATCATCTTGCAGTGTAACGTGAGTGTAGAAGATGAATTTGTTTGCATCCGAAACTGCTCCATAAAACTGCTTTTCTGCACAGTATTTTATGAAAATCAATCAAGCTTTCCTGGATGCAAAGCATTTGGCCAAAATAACAATCTTAAATCAGACCTCAATCACCTCACAGCACAACTGGGAAAAACACATGCTTTGCAGCTCACACAGCACGGGCAGGGAATACACCAAGCTGCAACAATAGAGGAAAAGCTACAGACTTCAATCTACTTCCCCATTTTCCAATTGATTTACTTTGGAAACAAAGAAGCCTCAACACTCACAAGGCAGCTGCTGTGCTCATCTGAACATTCTTCCTTGTACTACCCAGTCTTAAGACCAGCTGTTTGTCCGAACTACATCTGAAAGAAGTCATACTTACTTCCTCCTTGAAATGGTCGTTGGAGGACTCAGACACAGCAATGAAGAACTGAGGAATGGTGCAACGTGAAGAGCACGAACACCACAATATCATTTCTAAAATACAAACTTTCCAGAGCCTGATTGCAATTCTCCTACAACACCATGGAAAATCCAGCGAGTTTCACCAAAATTAGAGTTTAGGTTTTGTTATTCTCTAAACATCTAAAAATATCTTTCTAGATCTTCTTCCATCTTACACCATCCGAACAAAACATTTCAGCTTTTGAAGTGATTTTTCCCAATACTAAATTGGATTACTTCACTGCATTTAGTGTATTTCGTGTCCAACAAAATCCTTAAACGGTTTAAACAAAGAAGGGGGAAAAAAAAAAACAGAACCACAGAAATAGGACATGCATTTTGTAAAGCCTGCCTAAAAATAGTCTGTCAAGCTTATCAGCGATGTCTTTGGAATGAGCCAGAAAGCTCTTCCTAAACTATTTATTAAAATCACTGCTAAAGATCAGACAACTGGAAAATCAAAACCAACCAAAACAAAACCCTAAGTTTGTCTGTGCCCTCTGGACAATGACTTCTACCACCAGCCATCACAGTACAACAAAACCAAAATGTTGAACAGAACTCTCAAATTTTAACCAATTTCTACCATAGCCTGCAAAAACTAAAAAACTAAAAAAAAAAAAATTAAAAAAAAAAAAATCAATGGTCTATTTTCCTTAAGTGACAAAACTATTCTGAAGAAGTGAAAAGCAGCTGTCAGAAGCAGCTGCCCCCTTGATAGTGAGGCTGAAGACTGAGTGTTGCATTTATTCTGAACATGCTGACATAAAACATTCCCACTCACGCTTTTCGCTCTGAAGACACGTGTAATTTCCCAGCTCTCACTTCTGAGAAATGAAAGTCACCTTAAAAGTAGTTAAACCAGTATTACGAATTAGCCCCCCGTGCAGCAGTGGAAGATGATATAATGCCTTCTACTAGGACAAGAGCAAGCTTATAAAGGCACTCATTAAGATTTAGTTTAGAAAGCAGTACAGAAGAAGTCAGCTCACCCTGTCCGAAGACCAATGACATCTCGAGAAGAGCAAGATCTCTAAAGAGATGCTGCTCCCTCAGCTGCTAAACTTTAAATGAGGGTGAGGAGGGAGGACCCAAGCAAAGTGCATTGCTTGCACCTGACCTCTGTGGGTTAGCCATGCCATCTCATCTGGTGCTCAATCACTGGTTCAGGCCATGACCTAGCAATTCTCATCTGCCACACAAGCTTAAGAGATTAAAAAGACAGATTCAATAAAAAACAGTTTGAGAACAGCATAAGCTGAATTTATTTTATAAAAATTAGTATTCTAGCACAAAAAGTTACTATTCAGTAGATCCACAGAAGTCTTGCAACTGTGCTGAGAGCTGCAGCCATTTCACACAACAGTCTTATCTTTCCTGCACAGAACAGAAACATGCTGGACACATATTAAAAAAAGGGAAAAAAAAAAAAAAAAAAAAAAAAATCAATACAAAGAATTCCAAAGAGTGTCTGGTTATTTCTTAGCATAAGTGATTTTCATGGCATGAGATGGAGTTATCTTGAATCCTTGGAGAGCATCTCGAGCAGCTCCTGCTTGACATTCATTTTCAAACTCCACAAATGCAATGTCGTGACGCCCAGGCACTAAACGTACTTCTTTGAATCCAGGAAACCTTTGAAATAAATTTAAGGAGAGTCAGATAGTGCTTTCTAGATTGATAATTTACCCCCCTTCAGCACCCAGAAGACCCTCCCATAAGCATCTCCTAGAATAATAGTTACTACTAACAAGAGATTCGATTGAAGAATTTTTCTATTTCCAGGCCTTAGAACTTTGCTTCTCTTAAGGATCATTCTGCTGAAGTAATTTAATCAGCCTTGCACATCTGCAGAAGCAATTAAAGCTGTTTTTAAAACTGTTTCTGATGTCTTTAACATTAGTCACCAGCTTAAAGCACCGCAGATTGATAACTGATAACTTCTACAATCAAAATTGGTTTAAAAAAATAAGTCAGATTTGCATTCTGCACCCAATCATCTGTAAAGTTGGCAGTAACACAGAGCACTGAAATACCTTCAAAAACTCTCTTTTCTAATAATCAGCTAGCCAACTGAAAGTAAAAAAACAAAACCATAAAGGTAACGAAAGGAATCAAAGGAAAATTTTCTCCATTCAAAACTTACTGATTGAATAACATGGACAGCATCATCTCATTTGTTTCCTCAGGCAGGTTATTAAGGAAAAGAATATAGTTTGGTGGGTTATCAGGCACCTGCAACAAGAGAAGAGCAAAACTCAGTGGACTATCCACAGCTGCCTGCCCCTCTAAATCTGTCTGCATTATTATTTGAATGAAGACTCACAAATCCCTCGTTCTGGCTGTAACACCAGAAGCTGGGCTTTAGGATACCTTCATGCAATGTGCAGGCATAGATCTTGGTGGTTTTTGCTTTTCTGCTTAACAGCTGATACTGCAGTAGTCCACCAAACTAGATCTCAGCACTGCCACAGTTAGGACAAACTATAGTGCCAGTTCAGATTTCACAGGCCATCCAAGATACCTGCGTGAGGACATCAGCTTGGGAAAAGGCCTTCCACATCTTCTCTGTGAAGTAGCTGGAGGCCATGATAAACACCTTGTTCATCTACAGCAGAACTGAACTAGTGTTATCTTTGGGGCAACTGAAACCCACTGAAAACACATTGTTTTACTACAGCACACTATTCAAATGTATTGGTTACAAACTCCATTAGATGTTAAGCTTCAGAATCTCTACAAGATTTGGTCACAAAAACAAGCATTACCTGCTGATTCTGTGGTGAAGTCCCAGGGGCACTGGTTGAATTTTGTGTTGCTCCCTGTTAAGTAAGAGCAAGGTAGTTTTTAAAAGATATTTAGTTAGAGATAAACACACATCACCATGTTTGTGTACAGCTCAAGTAGTGTATGAAAGATGGCTTGGCTTTTTCTATTTTTTTAAGCTGCAACCCAAGGAACATTTATTTATGCCCGAGGGGAACAACAACATGTGCACTGCATTGAATCCCCAAACCAGACAATCAAAGAATTAAAACTGAACTAATGGCTGAGTCAGCAGACACAGCAAATCACTACTCATCCATCATTAAATTCAGTTTAGCTAGACAGAAGTAGCTTTGAAAATGAAGACCTACACAAGACATGATAGACAGTAAGAAAAAATTACATGCTTCCACTGAGGACTCCAGTTTAGCAAGCATAACTAAAGCCATTAGCATTATAAATAAAAACAATTACTTCTAGGAAATCACTATATAAGAATTGATTTTGAATAAATCCTGAGGAAACTGAATTTTTTATGCAGAAAAAGTTATTTTTATGATCGCATCTCTTCCCTTGACAACAAACTGTGCCTTTGCAGAAACAGCAATTAAGACAATATTCAAACCCTGTG